GGAATGCTGAACCTCTTTCAGTTTCCCAGGGAATGCTGAACCTCAGTTCCAGGGAATTCTGAGCCTCTCTCAGTTAATGCTGAACCTCTCAATTCCCAGTTAATGCTGAGCCTCTCAATCCTGAGAATTCTGAGCCTCCCTCAGCTCTCAGGGAATTCTGAGCCTCTCCCAGTCCCAGTTAATGCTGAGCCTCTCTCAGTTAATGCTGACCCTCAATTCCCAGGGAATGCTGAGTCTCTCTCAATCCCAGGGAATTCTGAGCCTCTCCCAGTTAATTCCGAGCCTCTCTCAGCCCAGGGAAGCCCCGGGCAGCGCCCACAGACCCCGCTGCCGTCAAACCCTCCCCGGGTGTTTGGATCCCTCCTTTCCCAGAGCAAACCTCGCTGGCACAGAGGATCCATCAGAATCACGGCGGATTTTCAGGGTATTTTAAGAGAACGGTTTCGTGAAGTTTCTGCTGCCTTTGCGTTTGAAAAGGGAGGTATTTTTGGAAGTTTCTCCTTTCCCGTTTCAAAATCTATGTAAATCCTGTCAGATAGTCCCAGTTCCCAATTAGCAGCACTGCAGCAGCCGAGGGAAAACGAATTAGAGCTGTTTTAAAAAGCACCTCAGCTGAAAACATCCCGGGGAAAGGCAAGGTGGAGATCAAGGATGGGATAAAATCAATGGATCCATCCCTCAGCCCGTGGTCTGCTTTGCAATCCAGCCCTCCCGGAACACGCATGGCTTTTAAGGGACGGCACAGAGGTGTTGGATCCCATCCCTGCAGGGACATCCCCCAAAGCTCTCTGTGCCCCTTTGGTGCCACCCATGGGTGCTGGCACATCCCAGCTGCTCCAGCCCCTCTGGACTGGGGATGCTGTGCCAGGATCCTGCTCCTGTTGGGTGTCCAGCTGCTCCCAGGGGATGTTTGGAAGATTTTTTCCCTCTGGAAAACAAATCTGCTGCACCCACTGCCCAACCCAGCCCTCAGCGTTGGCATTTGGGATTTTGCTGCTGCTGCTTCAGGGGCTGAGCCAGGGAAGGAGCTGAACCCCCTCCAGTCCCACCAGCCCCATCCAACACCTGGACACCTCCAGGGATGGGGCAGAACCTTTGCAAGTGGAATTTCCTCCCCGTGCTCCGTGGGGAGAAGCGTTCTCCAAGCCTTTGCCTTAAATTGAGCTTTATTTATTTCTTTCAATTGGCAGCAACAGTCAGAGGCAGAAGGATCCCTCAGTAACTCATCCCTGACAAAGCCCCCGCTCCTTCCAGCAGCTCCAGGGAGAACTCACAGCTCTTGGAGCTGATCTCAGACAGGAGAAAAATCATTTTGGAATCGTTCATCACAAAAAAAAAAAAACAACTCAAAAAAAAACCCCAAACCCAAACCATCTCCGAGGCTTTGGCAGAGGAGGCAGCACAGGAGGCTGCTGCTCCATGGATCTGTCCCAGATGAAAAACACCTCATTCAAAAAATCCTCCCCCCTCTAATGAATTGTTCCTAAACGAGCTTGGTGCTCGGGGCTTGGCTCAGAGCTGTCATTTGGCACGGATGCTTTGTGTGCTAAAGGCTGGAAAGAGGAGCCCCAGTGCCAGAAAGGCCCAGGGAGGACAATTCCACCTGGCAGCAGGGGCTGCATCCCTCAAAAATGCACTGGAGGGAGGAGGAGAGGAGCAAAGAGCACTGAGGGATCACTGGGGACACCCCAATCATCCCATCCCATCAAATCCAGCACAGAACTGGGAAAAAGCCCCAAAAATCTCAGGGTGACAGTGATGGGATGGCCCAGGGGCAGCTGTGGGATCACAGAATGTGGAATGGGTTGGAATCCTCTCAT